GATTAAAGCATTTTTACCGATTAAAATTTAAACTTTTATGAAAATGAATTATAAAATACACATGCTAGATTCATACCATAATCCTAGAACCCTAGGTGCCACATTTCAAGAAGCAAAACTAATTACATGAATAGTGAAACTAGATTCACATACCAATGTACAACCAAGGCTCTGATACCAATTGAAGGAAATCTTAGATTTATGCGGAAGCGGTTTAGGACCTAGTACATTGGTATGCTTACCGAATCATCCTTGTTTCACAATTACCTCTCGGTGCGCAGGTGTCGTGTAGAATCTTCCCTTGTAGGATTCCTCTTCACGAACAGCTCACCTTAGCGCCGCAGCACGAACAACCTCCTTGAAGCTAGACTGTGGCAGATCTTCCAGACTATCTCTCGAGGAGGATGAGATGGTTGTGTGGGCAACCGTTCAGATGATGAACGTCTGCCTCTTGGGGTTTGTTTCTGATGATCTATTCACCTTGGAGGCACAAGAGGAGAAAACCATGAATATATACGCTTAGGTCTTAGACATAACTCAACCCTAAGCCTCATGGGCTCAAGTTTCACTGAAGCCCAATAGGACTTTAGTGACCAAAAGAGCATATATCCAACAATATATATATATATATATATATATAGGCAAAATGATTTCTGCAGCTGCTGTACCTACAGCAAGCAAGGATCTGCGTCCGGATCTTAGGATGCGGCATCGGATCCTGAGTTTTTTTTTTTAAAAGTCGTGGGGCCCACTTTTCTGTGTCAGCTGTAGATAACACTATCTACGGCTGCTGCAGAAATGTTAAGCCCATATATATATATATATATATGAAAAAATTATATTTACAAACTCTTACCAACTACACTAAGTATGATCGGTCGTACTTAATGTAATTTGTAAAAAAAAAATTGTTAACAGATCCTTCCCATTTGACACCAGTCAAATTTGACACCTCACCTGATAGTCGTTAGATAAAAAAAGATCAATTGTGTCACATGCTTGCAAATCAAAGTCGTTGATCTAATGGTTCTCAGATAAAGTGTCAAATTTAAAATTTGTCACTGGTATCAAAAAATCCTACCTATATATATATATATATTTGGTATAAACCATATGATATCCGATCGTCAATAGGACCGTAAGAGTGACAAAGCTCATCCTATCCAATTTTATAATACAACTGCATACTACTCGAATTCGACATTGTTAATTAAACTGAAACTACTCCCTCACTTGATCCACATTGTGGCAACGCATGATTGTGTATAATAGCCGAGATACACTAGTGTCCAAATAACCTATTAATTGATCGTCAGAGGATAGATAAACCAGAATTGGCAATATGTTACTTTTGAGTTGTGATGATGAGTTGTGACCACCTGAAAATTTGAGCGTTTTTCCAACTTTTAACAGAAAAAACCTGGAGTAGGAAATTACACTGGTGTCAATAATAATAATATCCGGGATTGAAAAGGACATCACTGAGTTAAACCACATATATGGTTGCGCTATTCAACAAATTAAAAGAGTTGGGTGCATCAGAAGTCAATAAAGTTGATATAAATTTCAACTTCCCCTTCCCTCTTTTCAGATTTCCTTTACAAGAAAGCTCAATTGTCAAACACTTTGCTAACAAATCCCTCTACTTCCCACAGTCATTATTCTCTTTACAGCAATAAACTTACAGGCTAAGAATGTGAAATCTTACTTATTAATGGATAAATGGTTTTAGCTATATTGCTAAATTCAGTAATATTATATTTTTATTTTGATTATAATATAATAATTGGACCTAGACTTCCTTTTAATTCAATATTGTATACAAGTCGAGAAATAGCCAAAGTCTTTTCTTTTCCTTCCCCATGCATGGAAGTCTACAATGCCTGAGTCAAGATTCCAGTCATATAACTCATGCATGCATTTAAAATAAGTAAATAAGAATTTGTCAAATGTGCAATTAAGAAATGCTTATTTTGCCATCAGTTACTGTTGAAATTTCCTCAAAAACTAAACTATACTTGTCCTTATTAATATTTCTGCACATTTCCCACCAAGATTGACAATTTTTAAATCCACACACCTCAATAACTGCATCAGATTATCTTGTTCAATCGCTAATATTCTACAAAGCATACCAAAAATGATACGTCACAGTTACATACACATAGGAAAGAAGCCTGTGGAAACATATATGTTATTAAAACAAGATTTTTTAAAAAAAAAATAACATAAAATAGCAGCGATTGAGAAATTGCATATAGAGACAGAACGGTGGTATTGAAATGGGAACAAAGTCTTAGTTTAGGTGAGAAAGAAATGCAAAGGTTGATGAAGGAATGGGACCCACAACACATACATGCACCTAAATTTAAAGATTATTATATAGAGTTAACTAGGTGAATTACACAATCTATAATTAATGCTATTCTTATACCTTATTTTTTACACTCTTATTTTACTCTTTCTTTAAGAAGAGTGGGAAGAGGAAAAATCATATTTCTCAATTTTAATTTTCTTATAAAAAAGTATGAAATAAAAAAAAATAAAGTATAAAAATATATAATATTATTGTTTTGACAATATATATATATATATATATATATATATATATATATATATATATATATGAGTTCTTCTGATGTTCAGTCACAAGATATAAGATTTTGTCCAATCACCGCATTATAACTATGTACTCCCGAGAATACATAATTATAATATTAAAGTTGTATTTTTTTTTTGTCTAACGAAAAAAAGTTGTATTTTTTTCCATTTTTCATATAGCAAACAAGTTTTTGAAGAGAGAGAAAAAAGTATAACTTTAATATTATAATTATATATTTTTCGGAGTACATAGTTATAATGCGGTGACTGGACAAAACATTATATCCAGTAACTGGACACCCAATTTTTCATATATATATATATATGGGAAGTATATACTTACCACAAATTAAGTTTATCATTTCTTACCACCAAATCTTAACCGTTGATTTTTGTCAATCTGACGGTTATAATTTATTGAGAATTAATAATTAATTAATAAGTGTCATCCGATAAATTATAACCGTGTGGAAATCAACGATTAAAATTCGGTGATAAGAAGTAGTAAGCTTAATTGATTGTAAGTATATTTTGTCCCATATATATATATATATCACAACAACAAAAGGGAGAAGTCTCTAGCAGAAATCAAACAATTAAGATAATCACGAGCAAGATAGCTAGAGAGAGAGAGAGAGGGAGGGAGGGGTAGATTTTTACAACTGTCAAGAGAGGGTAGGAGTTGTCACATGATTTGCAACAGTAAAAAAGGGACCAGCAACATCTGTATCCATTATGTTGGTTTATTACAATTTAAAGGGAACAAGTAGCCTGTCCGAATATTTTTCATTCTCATTTTTTCTTCTTCTTTTCCTTCGGAACCATAAAAGTCTTTTCTAATATCTTAAACTTATGACTCTAATTCTGTTGCTCGTTCACATACCAAAAAGACATCCCCAGGTATGAAGTTATATCCCTCTCTCTCTCACCCTTATCAGCGTGATCAAAGACTAAATCAAATTCATTAATCTGTCCATGAATTATTCTGTAAGTTTAGCTAGGCCATGGAGCTTTCGCAGCTGAGGTGACTGAGTAAAGATATATGTTTAGATATGGAGTTGCATATATGATCAACAGGCTTGGAAGAGAAAGAATAGAAGCACATCATCATCGATCGTGAATGGTTAGTATTTATAAGGGAAAGGAGAAACACTCAAAATCAAAGTATCTTAATTTCCTTACTTTTGTATCTTAAGTAAGTCTTTAATGATATCAGTTTATATATCATTCTCCATATCGATCTTCGGGGTTTCTCCCATCATCTCCCTTTTGTGGTGTATTTAGAATCAATGAATATTTCTTTCTTTTTGTTTCTTATGACTATTAAATGATTCCTCCAATACTGAAAACTCTGACCGTACATTTTTCATTATCTTGTGATAAATTTGAGACTTTTTCATACACAACTTGTTGAGGATTTCTTAATCAATTCCTAACTTCTCTTCCATAGGAAATTTTTGACCACTTGATATTTCCTTCTGAAATGCATTTCCCTAACGAAGATGTGTTTAATTTGTGCGTGATGATTGGCAGTGTTTTGATCAATATGTCTTTCATAAGTGTCTCTGCCTATATAAATCTTCCTCTTCATCATACGATATATCTTTTTACTGATATCTAGAGAAAGAACGATATTTAACGCTGAATTCATTCATTCATATATCCTGGTTTTCTTGTTGATTAATTCTCCTCCCACTATTCATATATGTATATGTGTGTGTGAGTTCATGAACATAATCATGTCGCCCCCTTTAATTTCTGTTTCACTTATGAACCCTTTGGAATTTATTGTTTCAGTGTTGATATGAAATGAAATGACCTAAACTAATGCGTCTGTCCATACAGTTTGCATCTTTTTAATAGTAATAAATACCTTCCTTTCCCCTTCTGCATACATTCTGATTATTCAGTAACTTTATTAGGTGAATCACGCATAAAACATTCAACAGGGTCTAATTCTTTAAATATGTAGATCTGAACCTGACATTCGTCAGAAATTTTATTCACAGCTTCACGGTAGAGAAGTTGGTTGCATTCTTTATACTAAAATTCTTGAATTTTTACCTACTACTATATAATATGGATCTTTAATAAATGTCTTCTACCATAACTTCTCACTCTTTGCTACAGACTTCTTACAATCTTACTGTTACCTTACCATGGCCTTCAGCTCATCTTATTTTAAAAGTTTTAAAGCTTAGTAATCGTTGTAGAGAAACTACAGCCTGTTCTCAAATTCTTCTTTAAGCCACTTAATTAGTTTATCACTTTTTCCAACTTTTTGTACATTTAAATATTGTGTTTGTTTCACACATGAAATGCTAACATAATTTGTAAACGAAATAAAGAATTGAAGTTGGTGCCTTGGAGGTGATAAGCAGGAGCAACAACAAATAAATATGTCAGGTGGATATGAGATTCATGATAATGATGAGAGGAGCGGAAGGAGTGAGGAAGAGGCTGAAGACACTTCAATGGGATCTTCTCAGAATAAGTGCTCATCGTTTGACTTGAATGAAGAAGCTAGTAGCGAAGATAGTAATTATAATGATGAGGCATGTGAACTCAAAGCTGAGGGATATGAGAAAGCAAAAGATGAAGGCACTTCAACTAATAGAAGCAGTGCAACAAGAGAAGGAAATGAACGAAGAGGTGGTGTTAGACAATATGTTAGATCAAAGATGCCTCGCCTTCGGTGGACTCCTGACCTTCATCTCTCCTTTGTGCATGCTGTTGAAAGACTTGGCGGTCAAGAGAGTAAGTAATTAATTGCATATATATATATATATATATATATATATTAGAAGGATATTTCAACTCTGATATAAAAGTAAAAAACCTTACTCCTTATCTCAATTGTTGATCTTTATGCATCTGATCTGATGATTGTAATTTATTGAATTATACGATTAATTAATTATTAAGATTCCCTATTATTACATGTACATCAGAGTCAAAAATCCCTTCCTTATGCACTAATTGTAAAATTGTTTGGTTGAACTCTTTGCTTTGATTGGTGCAGGAGCAACGCCTAAGTTGGTGCTTCAGTTAATGAATGTGAGAGGACTCAGCATTGCTCATGTCAAGAGTCACTTGCAGGTAGCACAAATTTGGTGGTTTGAGATAATACTCTTTGAATTAATTTTTCCTTTAAAGTTGATGTATATCTATTCTTAAATAATTTCTTGGTTATGAAATTTTCATTTCAGATGTATCGAAGCAAGAAACTTGACGAGGCTGGGCAAGGTGAGGACTATCCTAAATCTTGTTAAGTGTTAGTGCAAATGAATCTTTTTTTATGTGTACAATAAGCTAGGAATACAGCTTAGTTGGTATGCTCCTTTGGTTTCTTCTATTTTATTAGATTATTCTTCCTAACACCTTAAGCAAAGTTCCCCAACTCATCACTGACCACGTTAATTAATCACACCCAAGATAGAGAAGGCATATGGTTGATCAACTTAGAAGAACAAATGAAAATGATATCACATACCCCACCTTATATAGATTACGTGATCCTGACATCCTGTTAAGTAAATTTATCATCAAGTATACCTTATCCAAGGCACATCTAACATGTTTACATTTTTCATAACTTAGACTTATGACTATTCAAGTTGTCCTCAATTTATGCATTTGAGTTGGGATACTATGATTTTTTATATTTTTTTTGAAAAAAAAAAAAAACTGAGGGGTTATATTTAATATGCATGAAGGACCATTATTTTGTGATTCAAGTGATTGGTAGGGATTCAAACAAAGAATATGCATGGTTAAGATTATACAATAATTATCTGAATTGCAGTTAACATAAAAGGTACATTTAGAATAAAAGATGGCGGGGGAAACTTATTCCCTTCATATTTATATTTATTTTCACTCAGTAACTAGAAATATAAGGGGAAACTAAACTCCAACGCTATCAAATTTGGAACTCCTGATGCAATGCAAAAGCCACTTTGACATTTTAGTAAACTATGTCTCCTAAAGTGAAGTGATATTAGAAGGACTTAGGGTTAGGGTTACTTAATTTTAGCCAAATCTTCTTGATTTTGATAATTCATAATTAATTCATATTTACTTTACAGTACTAAGTCCAACATACAGATCAACCCATGAAGTAGGTCGTATTTCTCATGTAGCCAAGCAGTCCATGATTCCTCATCAAAATTTCAAGATGGGAAATGGTGGAATTATTCTAACAAGTAATTGCAACGAGCATAGCTATTTTCAGGGTCTCCTTCATCCCTCCACCCTATCACAGTCACATGCAAAGGCCATCGATACAAGGTACGTAACCATGCATGCATTTTAATATACTTTATTCCTCCAGCTAGGTTAAAATCCTTCCTCATATTTTCCATGGTTTTGCAAGAAGAAAATTCAACAAAATCATTTTTTAGTAATCTACATTTACAATGCCTCTCTATCACTAGGCACCAGCAATTGTACTTCAATCATCAACCTTTTAGAAGACCAAGTTACCTAAGCAAGGAAGTTGTGTCTTCAACAGCCTTACAAACTCAAGGAAGATCAATAGCTTCAAGCCAAATTCAAGTAATGGATACGACCAGGATTGCACCCATGAGACCAAGCCAATTTCTTGAAGAGAAAAAGTGGCCTCCATTAGAAATTTTGAACAATCATCTTTGGAAGAAAAGTTCACCTACCAATATTACTGCAAATACAGGGTCACAAACACAATCTGTTGTACATCAATTTGGCACCACTCCTGCATCTCTTAGATCACCTGAGTTAAGCTTTCGAAACAACACAAGAATCAGGGAACTTCTATCAACTTCCAATGAGCATCGCAACTATTCCAACAGTTTAAAGCTAGAATTTGATCCCCCATTCCGGATTAAGGTAACATTAGGGCTTAAGAAAATAAGATCTTTATGTTTTTTTCTTTCATCACCATTCATACATCTCTTCTTTTTTTTCTTTTCCATCTTATGCAGTTGAATCAAGAAAAATTACAAAAAGATAAGAAATGGGTGCCTGATTTGCAATTAAGTTTGAGTCAGAAAGATGGGAACAATGATGGCAAGACTGATCATTGCAGAGAAACCCAAGAAATCAGCACTAAACTTTCACTTTCTTAGAATTTAATTAGACATGTAATTAATTATGCAAATACCACAACCTAGCTGGACATAAAGTCTGAGAGATGATATAGAAACCAAAACAAAGTTACACCATTACATGTCACTACAACATCATATTGTGGGCTTCCGTGCAAGTATTTGGTTTGACCATGCACAAAATATAAAGAGTTAAGGAAAATAACACAAAGGGACAAATAATTTAGTTGAACGAACACTGAAAATATGGCGATCAGACCTTACTGCTAGAGTTTGAGTACTTCAGCACCCTTGGTAGAAGATTAAAGGTGGAAAATGGATGGATTTAGTAGCAGCAATTTAGAAATTAATTAAGTTGCACACAAAGCTGAGTTTTATGATGGGCCCTTACTAGTGCATTGCATCATTGTGTTTTTTGTTTATTGAATATTACTGTGTAGTTGAAATTAATTTATGAATATTAGATTATTGGCATCCACATAAAAGAGTACTCGAATTGTTTATTCTTTTTATTTTTTTAAACAAAATTTAAAACAAGTCCATCCCTTTCTCACTTCCTACTCCTCAAACCAAACCAATTATAAGTCAATTCAATTTTGTTTATGAACCTTAATTTTAGCACTGCTGGCATATAAAATTAGTTTGTTACGTTTACAAATTCATGATAAAAAGTCATACAGAGATGGCTAGATAGAATTTATAGCTTTCTTTAGTTGAAGCAAATTTGTCAAATCACATTGTGCATGGATCAGATTATTAGTTCTCCGTTGTAGGTATCCTAACTTATAGCCAGCCTGCAGCAATTTGAACTCCATTCATTCAGACTGTCAATATTATTTTTATTTTTTTTAAAGTTCTAGTTAAAATAAAAGAAAGCTGCATTATTTAGTGACTTGAGTTACATTCTTAAGTTGCATCCTAAGATGATTAATCAATTAATTATCTTAAAAATATTTTTTATGAAAGACCAAGTGTGATATATATGCTTTATATCCTACTTAAGTTCACGAGGAATGCTTGATGATATAAAAACATTTCGCAGCAAAACGATCAAGGGGTAAATATTAAAAGACTTATCACTACCACCACTGTCTATCTATCAATTCATTATTTGGTACCCATTTCACTATCTACCATCATCTTTTTTTATAAATGTCTCAGCGTCATGGAAGTCAAGTCACTTTCAGCATTTTCTTATTAAATAGTTATTACTCAATTTACATAGATATTCTGAAGTTCAATTTATATAGTTTCAATTAATTTACTTGATTGTCTATAATAATTGATAAATCTTTAGTTTATCTTGTTTTTATAGACTAAAATAATAAGAATTATCAAGTTAAATGAGTAAAAACTAGGGTTTTGATATAAAATACATGAACTTTATGATTTATGAATTAAATAAAATATATTTTCTATTTTGAAGGGATTTGAAGATAAATGGAAGCAAATATCAAGATTGGATAGATGGAGATCAAACCTAGAAGATTTGAAGAGCTTATCTAAAGAAAATCAAGATAATCAAGTTGTTGAAGTGGAGGCTTAAGCCTCCAATCTGAGGCTTAAGCCCCCTTAAATTCCAGAAATTCTGACCAAAGAGCAAGTACCCACTGCTTGAGAGCGCTTAAGCCTCCAATTTTGGGCTTAAGCGCGCTGCAATAAGAAAGTTTTGAGTTGAAGAGCGTGCTTAAGCGTGCAACGTAAAAAGTCCATGCAAATCTTAGGGAGCTTAAGCGCGAAGATTCAGGCTTAAGCTCCCCAGAAATCCAACTTAGGCCCATTTTGAAGTATCCACCTAGGGCACGAATTCTTTACCTACAAAAACACATTTTAGGTCAGAATTAATCAGTTTTTAATATTCTAAGAGAGTTCTTGGTACTCGGAGGCAGAGAGAACACGGAGAAATCCACAGTTAATGTTTGTGAGCAGCGGAGACGGATCAGAATCGAGTTTGCACTAGAAGTATTGAAGATTCACCAATCAACTATGGAGTTTGGAGAAGCTTTTATACTTTCTTTCGTTCTTGATCTTGCTATGTCTGGCTAAATTCTTAAGTCGGGTTAGATGGAATTCAATTAATCTTTTATGTCTTAAACAATTCTTTATGTTAATTTTCCTTTTCATCATGAATGAAATTATCTTTTCTTAATGCTTTATATGAGCTTGAATCTTATATATTGATCTTAGGTAAATGCATGACAATAGGGATGTTGGTGTGTGATCTGTATCTGATAATTTCATTGTAATTCTTATGATTCTAGGGATAGACATAGGGTTTGCGTAATCTTTAGATTCTTGAATTTAATGCTTGTTTTCTTGGGGAATAACCGGGGAACTAGGGTTCTTGCAAGATTATAAGGATTTAGGGTAACAAGGGATTGAGCCCTAATTACATAAGAAAGAATCGATTAGATTGATATTAAGGACGATTAACTTAAAGAAGGAATTCGAACATAATAAAGAGATTGAAGGAAATCGAAACCTTAGCTACGTTTGATTTTCATTAGTTAATTCAATTCTTTAAATTCTTGTTTTTAATTTTTGCGATTAATTTGTTTTAGTATTTTAAATTTTCAAATCAATTCTTGATCCAAATCAATTCTTGATCCAAATACAATTTCGATTGTCCAACTTAAGTCGAAGTAGTAAATTAGTGCTTGATTTATAATCCTCGTGGGAACGATTTCTTATTTAAAACATTATATTACTTAAAACATTATAATACATTATAATCCCCGGCAACGGCGCCAAAAACTTGTTGCGACTCACGGCAAGTGCACCGGTCGTACAAGTAATATAATGTTTTAAGTAAGAGATCGTTCCTACGAGGATTATAAATCTGTTAGAATTGAATATCCACACAGATGCAAGAGACAACCAGACTTGTGTATCTACAAAAAAAACTTTTCTTTTCTATTCTTGCTTTCTTGCTCTTTCTCTTTTTCTCTTGATCTTCATTTCATACAAACTATCAAAGGTTATTTATAAGCTATAAAACTGACCAACATAACTCCATACATAACACCCTCATTACTTTATAACTGACAGAACTGACTCATTAATATTCTAACTGACACAAGAAACTAAATAACCAAAACTGCTAAAAAACGGACATTTAAAATTTATCCCAACAAAACTCCCCCATAAATTTTAAATTCTTCTTTCTTTCTTCGCGTTGCTTCTGCTTTTCTTCAACTTTCTGATCGCGCCTGTTTTCTTCAATCTTGATCACTGACAAAAAACATCTAACACCTTCCAACTTAATTAACTCAAAGAAAATATCTCCCCTGCAATTATTTTTCTGAACATATTTTATTTTTGTCCGGCGGTTCCTTCATTGGTGGAAGATAGACAGTCTTGAATTTTTCTCCGTCGACCTCATCCTCCGATATACTTCCACATCCATTCTTACACGTATGATCATCACACAAGTCATCATACTGATCAGTATCTGTATCACTATAACGTCTCATTAGTTTTACAACACCTATGCCAATTTCAATAATTTCAGATTCAACATGTGCTACATTAATAGCACGTTGGGCCTCTTCAACCACTAACCCCATCACTCATTGAGGACCGTTGATTCCCATCATCAAGCAAATAACTCAACTCATCATTTTCTGATTTCGCCCCACGATCTTCTTCTGGTTTAGGCTTGAGCCAAAATGATTCTGCCATAAAAGTAACTCTAGGCTCCTCATCGCCGGGTTCCCTATCCACAATCACACCTTCCATTTTTTCGCTCTCAGTTTCTTCATCGTCGGGTTCTTCTTCATCGAGAAGAGCTTCCACGCGCCTCATCAATGGAATCTCAGACCACCGTCCTCCAGGGAAATGGTCTCTTTTCGGTGGTGTCGACATCTTCCACTTCCACCATAAATTCAATGCAGTCTCCGACTTCTGACTTCCAACCCGAACCGCGCCTATGTCGGTCTCCGACATCAACCTCATCACGCCGGGGTCGAGCTCTTCTCCAAAACATGAACTCGGTGATTTAGCCAGGATCTCCCCCATCCCGGTTATCAACACGGAACTCGGATTCACAGTCTCCTCCATGTCGGTCTCCATCAAGCACCTCGGCTTCTCAATCTCCTTTCCGATTTTCGACTCTGTCTCCAGACACTCAGGTTCCACGAAGTCTTCTACCTCGACAATGGACTCTTCTACCTCGACAATGGACTCGTCGTTCCCGTCCTTCTCTGCTTCGATCTCGGCTCCTTCGTTCTCCTCATCTTCTATCTCAGCTCCTTCGTTATCCTCCTCTTCTATCTCGGCTCCCTTGTTCTCCTCCTCTTCTATCTCGGCTCCTTCGGCCGCAGTCATCTCCATTGTCTTCTTCTCCGAGTCGTCTCTTACGCGTTCTGACACGTCAATCTCCTCCGCGGATGCGTTGCCGTTGGCAACCTCGGATTCCACCATCTCGGTCTCTTCTTCATCCGCATCATTTTCCTCATCTTCATCATCATCATTGAAGATTTCATCTTCTTCATTAATCAGATCAAAACGTCCAGGCAAGTATTTTGTTACGAAGGCCATTAGAAAATCCTTCCACATATTATTAAAGTCGCGGCAGTTCCATGTACGGAACCATTTGATTGCGCTTCCTCTGAGTCTTCTCATGGCCACCTGCCATTTGTCCTCCGTCCAGGTTTTTTCTTTCCGAAAATGTTCCTTCAAACAGAGAAGCCAATCTAATGCTTCATCCTTATCTCCATGGAAGAGTGGCACCTCTAACTCGCTCTTTTTCCCCATAGCTCTGATACCAATTTGTTAGAATTGAATATCCACACAGATGCAAGAGACAACCAGACCTGTGTATCTACAAAAGTCTGGTTGTCTCTTGCATCTGTGTGGATATTCAATTCTAACAAATTATCAAAGGTTATTTATAAGCTATAAAACTGACCAACATAACTCCATACATAACACCCTCATTACTTTATAACTGACAGAAATGACTCATTAATATTCTAACTGACATAACTGACTCATTAATATTCTAACTGACACAAGAAACT